TGAAAACCTTCGAAATTTTCCGGAAAATTATTTTAGGCTTTATTAATAAAAGGTACAAAGTTATTGCGAAATGAAATTTTAATAACTTCTGTAACCATTTCTCGCTATTGTTAGCAAATATAAACTGTTAGGTTACAATTGTTTTGAGTAAACTGTGAGAGACAAGTCGACAGGAATTTTATCCTCAATTTTATGATTCAAAGAAATCTCTTGGAAACAAAACATTTTTGTAATAGAATTGTGTTCAAGAATCAGAAATTGTTGAGAAGCCAAGGCTTTATAAATGCTGGACATTTAACACAGATTGTCCATTGATGCTATCAGTAATTATGTAAGCACTACCACGACTATTGATTATGAGTCCTGGTTCAAGTATTTGGGAAAGTATAATACATTTAGTCAAATCTGTAGAAATAAGTAGTTCGTTGTAACTAAAGAGACATCTATTAAACGAAACATTAGCTTTTATGAGTATAATGAAAAAGACTGCCTCTATTTGTTCAGTACATTTAATAATATCGAATGAAACAAGCAATAATTATAGCAAAATACAATCCGAAAGTAAGTCATCCTTTTTGCTCTTGATTAGATTGATAGAAAATAATATCCTCGTATTAAAACATTTCCTAATCGAAAACATATTCCCCGATACTAATTTATTTTATAGGTCAAATGCCAACGCCCTATAGATGCCCACATGTTAAAAAGCCCTTGCCACGGTAATATGGTACGCAGAGCCCATGGGAAGTAATTGTATCCACACTTTGTTCTATCTATTAATTCCACCCTTCTTTGATTAAAATGTCAAAACGTAAATGGCGTGCCATTAAAACATTTGTAAAGGTGACAATTTTATTGTTAACACGAAATGTCTAGTTAGGGTCCCTTGTAAAGGTAGGCTTTTGATCTAGGGGTCGGAATGAAAATAATGTTTTATCTTAATTAATATTACAAACTTTAATGTACAAGCTTATCTGTTTGTGTATTAATTTCTTTTGGTTGTGATTTTTTTAATCTTTATTTTTGTTTTTATCTTGTTTTCATGACGTAGTGGTATCATGGGACTTATAATTTAATTTGGGGTACGTTTTTCATTTCTGCTTGCTCCTCAAAGGAATATAAGATATATATCATTCAATACGTGAGTATTTAGTATTCCAAACTATCCTAAGCTGAGGATAAGTAAGCAGACCGTAAGCTACAGTGGTCAGTGTAGTAAGACATTAGTTATTCTAACCATTACCTTCACGAAACGTAATTGGTATAATTTTTGCAAAAGAAACACATATTCAGTTTTCTTATTTTTTGTAGCCAATTTCGCGTCGACGCAAAAATACACAGACAACTTATTAAACCGTCTTCCTTATTCGCAGATATGGCTCAATCATCTTTCTTTACCATTTCCCTTACATCTGAAATTATGTTCTTATTCCAAGGAAGCATGCTTGGATCCTGATAAAATCAAACCGCTTTCTTCCCTCCATATTTCGAATATAAACACTCTTTAAGCGGAGCATAACCTTCTCACACTTAGAACAACTTACATCCCTTAGCCAACAATAGAGCATCGAACGTTTTCTTATATAATCAAGAGGCGCTTCTGAGATGTTGAGCTTGGGGGGACCACATGTTAGGGTAGAGGTAGCGGTAATGCACGGCGTGACTAACAAGATTTTCTACACCCCTATCTTCAAGGATGGAAATTTTAAGGCCTATTTGAGTAACTAGAGGCTTGAGGGACCAGAGTTTGACTTTCGTGAGATTGATATCTTTATATATATAATTCTTCTGTGAGTGTGTATGTCACTGAACTTCTCTCAAACGACTGGACCTATTTTGATGAAATTTTTTGTGTGTGTTCAAGGGGATCTGGGCATGGTTTAGATTCACAAATCAGCCGGCGATGCTAATCAGATGGCGCTGCAGTCGATTTTTAGGTTATTTATTCTAAACAGCTGAACTAATTTGAATGAATTTTTGTTTGTACATTCAAGTGGATATGCAGGAAAACGTCTGTTGGGTCTGCTAGTTATTTGTAATTTTGTAGATTTTATAAATATGTTTACATATACTTTGTGAGTTTAACCTTCCCAATTGTTAAATGATATGAGGAAATAATTGTAATTTTTGTCTTGCGGTTTGGATATGTTTACATCCACAATAACACAGAAGAGAAGATAATTCGAGACGTCATGTTAAGAAAATAACGTTGGAAATATTTTATAATCTTTCACTGTGTTTCGAACTTCATTCCTGATATCAGAAATCAATGGCAAGTCACCTCCGAAACTGACAAAAAGTGTCAAAAGAGAGCACCTGTAATTTAAGAATGACGATCACTGATAAGAATCGCCCCGCTACCTCCCATCAGAAAGTCCAAACAGCGTTGTTTGAAGGAGGGCGCGGACGAAGGTTGTATAAATATTGGCGCCTCGCTTTGAGGCCAAGTGCCGTCTTTGTCTCGACAATAAAAGAATAACACTCATTTATACGAACAATGAAACCCCCCACCACTAGGAATAAATTCCTAAAGCTACCCACTGTAACGTAAATCTTCACTATATTGTACTGGAAAATCGAAAGCGGTAAATGTAAAAGTGTTTCTGTATGAGAAAAAGAATAAATGAGAACTGTATAAAATTCTGTGGAAAAAAGAGCAATGAGGTTCTAGCTTAAGATAGATTAACTCGACAACTCTTTCCTGTTATGAAAATATGCTGCCGTATTCAAATAAACGACTGAGAGTGGCTTCTACCTGAGTATATATGAAATATTCTGATACCTTGTTTTTTTATAAAATGCTTTAAAGTATCTGTTTTCTTTGATCACAAGATTGATCACAATGATTCGGTTTGCATGAAAGACCATTAATTACTAAGCGTTTTATACAAATATATTATATTTTTACTGGGTTTTCCAGCGGCTACGTCTGTGTTACGCGAACAAAAAATAACCTATTTAGATTAGAATCTATATCTAAGCCAAATAATTGTAAGTAGTATTTTCTTGCTTTCTAATAACAAACATCCACACGTCATCACAAACATCGCATTTATAAAATTAGAAGGATTATTACCCAACCTACCACAAAGTCCTGACCACTCAACACCCACTGTCAGATATTTTATCCTCGCACAATTTTATGCAACTACCTTTTCGCAAACATAAAGCCAGTATACATCTGCGTAGGCGGCAATAAAATCAGAAAAATATTAAACGTCTCCTTGCCCTATTTTTGAACTAACAACCTCATTCCCATATCAGAAAGAAGATGGCAGAAAAAACGAAAAAATAGCACAAACATATTTCTTAGCTGACTCACAAGATAAACCTGTCAATGTTTATAAAAAGTAAGAACTTACAACGTATCTAGCTTAATAACTTGTCAGCTTAATGGCCGACAGTTTCAGAAAAGTGACGACACTGAGTCGTGGCATGGCTGTGTTCAGAAAAATTCTCAGAAAACACTACCAACGGACGTGTAAACAGCTAAAAAGAAGTATTTCATTAACAGATATAGATGAAAAGGGACGTTAAACCTGAATTCGTTCGCTGATTTTGTAACTAATGTAGATTGTAATACTTCGTGACTTTATAGGTCACCTAAGGTGAGTAAACAAAATAAATTATTGCGCAGATGAGTATTCATTCTGTTTGTTTGGACATTTATATTATTATGTCACTTTCAAAAACATGTTTACACTTGGTGAAACTCAAATACAAGTTGTGATTAGTAATATTTGGGGTTTGAAACTATAAAAATATATAAATTCGTTAGATAATATGATTCTGCATTACATTAATATTTTGGAATTATAAGAATTTGAAACTAAAACTCGCTAAGAAGAAAAGAAAACCTCGTCTCGTAGCAAAACTACCAACCGAAGCAATAAACCAGTAGACATAGACTAGGTACTAAAACAAATAAAACAATAAAAGAATCTCATTTTTGCAAAATCTGCATAGCAACTACATAAACTTAATTTTTACGACCAATAAACGGACTATCGCATCTGTTCCTCTATGACGCATATCATTTCCGAGAAACACAATATCATCATACAGATTCGCAATATGGATCCAATAATTTTTCCCTCACACCATTATACAGCGCTTAAAACTGAATGTCGAATAAACTTAATATGTTTATGTGACGTTCGGTTGTAAAAACGTTTATTTTGACATTAGTTTAGGCTGTTTCGGCGAATTTTGCTGTGAAGCTGATTGTTACGAGCCAAAGGATTTTTCGTAAAATTTTATTATCGATGTTACATTGTTGGTGGGCTTTTTAAGGCTTTTAAAAATGTTTAATCTTGTGTATACCGGATTTGATTATAAGGAATGTTGGTTAATTTTTAGTCACTTTTTTTTAATCATTGTGTCATTTTGGTTAGGCATTACATTTCAAACATCAACATTAACATTGATAAACAAATTCTAACTCTAAACTCAGCATTATACAACACATTTGAACAGAAACCATTCACTTTGTCGGCGACCTAAACCTAAAATACGTCCCCTTGGAAAACTAAATTTAAAGCTCAACCCTATGTTCTAAACCCTTCTGTATACACAGAACATATTGACTAACAATAACTTCATAATTAAAACAAAAAAAAAAAAATGGTCGCTCAATTAAGTTATAACCCTACATTGTAGGGCCATCATATCGAGTATAGTCTAAGTAGAGGGGCGGATTCGAGGGGCAGACTAAAACAATAGCAACCCTAACGCATGAGAATAATTATCAGTTTCCATTGTTTATTTACGGATATATCTAGGACTGTCTTTTTATTGCTTTCGATTCTATGCGGAGGGAGAACTAATAAGTCGGAGTTAGATAAAAGCCAACTTTAGTTGGGCACTTAGCTTTCTAAATTGAATCTGGAAGGGCGATGGATTTGCACGTCAAGCAAATCTCGACTTTACTGCTGATTTAAATGTACTACTGAGTAATGATTTTACTTAAATTATTGTGGCGACTCGTTAATATTTGGCGCAGCTGCATGCGCCTACGCACAATGAATAGCAATATCAAGTATTTCTACAAGTGGCGGCTCATTAAATTCAACAGAAACATAATGACGTTTCCAAATAGTTTTTGTGAATCTACCCGATAGTAAATATATTTCTTTCTATTCATCACATCGAGTCATTACAACATCTCTGTACTTAAATTTACAATTTTTTTAAGTATACACGTATTTTCAAGTATTTTCGGGTTTTATTTACAAACCAAATAGGACCCTCTTATGTCTCACAAGTAGACATAAATTGGCGACCGTGACAGGACACGGATTTCATCAAAACGAATCTTTGCGACGTACTACGCCCCATAGTCAGGAGTACGTGGCGCATCCGAAGTTGAAGATCGTCAGAATCGGCGTCTAAGCTACAGACGACTTAGTCACGACCACGACAGCAAACTTCCAAAGAGATAAGTGTTCCAATCCTTGTTCCTACTCATACCAAATCATAGATTTCCAGTTACTCACCATTATATTGCCTCCACAGTGCATCCAAGGTCACAAAGGGCAACAAGACTAAAGTCATATTCATCAAGTAGAATCATTTACAACAATAATTCATGTAAATTAGGTTTTCCTTGTTTAACAGATTGGGGTTCAAAGGTCATTAAAGTAATACATTGTTACCTACAAATTCAAAGTTGCCTGCAAATATTGTTTTATATATTTCCTATTTATTATTTCAAACGATTATTTGTTCAACATAATCTCGTTTTAGGTAACAATTTGATGTTTATTTAATGAGAAATATTAATTAAATCTCAACTTCATTGAAGTATTCCCTCTCAATTTCATTGAGGCTAACTTTGATTAGCCATTATAAACTACAGTGATAATTTGTCCCAAAACAGATTTCGATTATTTTAGCAGTACATTTTTATATCTTTAAACAATTACCGTTCCATTTCGTAGTTAGGTACTACAAGTTCATCCTATTTCAACATAAAGTTATTACAATAACTTATCAATTTATCACATTATTATTTGTTGCTTTATCTGTTCTGCCGAAATTTCCAGGACGAGGCGGTGCCCGGACACGATCCAGCTCGCTGTTTGATCGAGCACGTGTACGGAACCGGTTTCTTTGACGCTGTCGTCGAGCTGAAGGGAGTGAGATACACCTATTTACATTCTATTGTAAACCAAGTGCAGCTAAGTGGACAAGTTATTATTAGTTTTGTTTTTCTAAGTCATAACAATGACTTCTGAGTCTGACAAACATAATACTTTTAAATACAAGGAATTAAGTTTGAGGCGTAGTTCTATCAAAGGACAAATAACAAAATTTAAAAATTATATATCAACATTAGAATTAGTGCAGCTATCTGGCATTCAACTTGTCGAGTTATCTTTAAGGTTAAGTAAGTTTGAAGGTTTGTCCACCAAGTTTGATGACCTTCAGACTGAAATTGAAGTGTTAAATCACAAAAATATAGATTCAGAGCTTGATGAGCGTGATGTTATCGAGCGAGATATTATTTCATGTATAGCAACTGCAAAGAATTTAATTGAAGATGCAAACAATTTATCTGACGCGCGGCGTAAGTCTTCTGTGTTCTCATGCCATCACCCTCATGGTTCTGAGTTTACCGGTTTTAAATTGCCGCGTATTGAGATTTCTAAATTTAACGGAGCATATTTTCACTGGCTTGAATTCCGAGACACGTTTCAGGCGTTAGTTCATAATAACGAACGCATTTCCGACATTCATAAATTTCACTATTTGATATCATACCTTGAAGGAGATGCGGCTCGTATCATTTCAAATCTGGAAGTCTCTTCATCAAATTATAAGGAGGCCTGGTCTTTATTATGCGAACGATACGACAACAAGAGGTTGCTTATTAATTATCATTTATCAGAATTAATTAACATGAAGCCGATAATTAACGAATCCGAGCGATCGTTAAGATTTTTAGCAGACCACGTTACAAAAAACTTACGTGCGCTTTCTAACTTGGGTCGACCCACCGATAAGTGGGATGATATAATCATATTTATGATGACGTCCAAATTGGATAGTAATAGTCTAATGAAATGGGAAGAGTTACAAAATTCGTTTGATTCTGTTGATGATCTGCCAACCTTAACTCAGTTTCATAAATTCTTAACTGACCGCGCTGGTGTCTTGGAAGCTATCAATCGTGGTAAATCGGATAATAATAACAAAATGCTAAGGGAGACATCTCGTCCTAGCCAGAGTTCTCATAACCAAACGTCACATTTTAATAATAAACACAACAATAGTTTCACGAACAAGAATAATAAGCCATCATTCGTTAAATCTTTTATTAGCAATCAACAAAAAACACAAAAAAGAATTGATTGCGTTATTTGTAATGAGTCACACAGATTATACTCATGTCCTACATTTAAAAACAAAGGTGTTAGTGAAAGACTAGCTGATGTTCAGAAATACAATCTGTGTTATAATTGTTTGAGAGAGGGACATCATGCGGCTGACTGTCCATTGGGTCCTTGTACTTTTAAGGACTGCAATGAGCGCCACAATTCGCTTTTGCATCAATCGCGTGCAGTATTATCCACGAACTCAGCTGAAGTACTATCAACTTTTTCAGAGCCATACACAGATCATGTATTTTTATCTACCGTTGTTGTTGAAGTGTCGAACCCGCTGACCAAAACCACGGAGAAAGTACGCGCTCTCTTGGATTGTGGTAGTCAGTCTTCACTAATAACAAAAAATCTAAAACATAAATTACAATTAAATACAAATAAAACAAATGAAATAAATATAATGGGTATAGGCAATAACCTATGTCACAAGGTTACTGAATCCTGCAAGATTACATTAAATTCTACGAACAATCCATATAGCATTACCTTATCCTGTTTAGTGCTTGATGAGCTCACAGGAGAGCTACCCAAGGTTCCTATAAATATACAACACTTTACTTTACCTGATTATATAAAGTTAGCCGACCCTAGTTTTAACGTACCAGCGAAGACAGACGTTATACTAGGAGCTGACATATTCTGGGATGTTGTAGGAACAGAACAATACTCCCTCGGTCCCAAGAACCCAAAATTAATTAATTCTAAATTTGGCTGGCTTGTAGCTGGCCCGATGTTTTCAAGTTGTTCTAAATATATACAATGCAATCATTCAAGTAGTTTAAATAAATGTCACTCAGATGCACTTACAGAAATTGATAAAAAATTGACTAGATTTTGGGAAATCGAAGAACTTCCCCAAAGGTCTAGTTACTCCCCAAGTGAAAGATTGTGCGAGCAACATTTTATCGAAAATACCACTCGTTTAAGTTCAGGTAGGTTTTGCGTCAAATTGCCTTTGCTTGATGACCCTAACACTCTTGGCGATTCATACAATTTAGCCAAAAAACGGTTCTTAAATTTGGAAAAACGATTTCATAAAAATCCAGAGCTCAAAATACAGTACGCAGAATTTATTAATGAATATGCCAAACTAGGTCATTTATCCGAATCACATAATGCAAAACCCACCCCAAATTATTTCCTGTGTCATCATGCAGTTTTCAAGGAAGAGAGTGAGTCTACCAAAATCCGAGTGGTTTTCGACGGTTCGGCTCCCTCTTCTTCTGGCCGCTCCCTCAATGACATTCTCATGGTTGGCCCTAATAAGCAAGACTCTCTTTTTTACATTTTGATCAGGGCTAGACAGTACAAATTTCTTCTCACTGCTGACGTTGAGAAAATGTTCCGCCAGGTGGCATGTCACAGTGACGATCAAAATCTACAACTGATCTTATGGAGAGAAGACGAGTCACAGCCAATCAAAACGTACAAGTTGAATACCGTCACTTACGGCACAGCAAGTGCGAGCTATTTAAGTACGCGTTGCCTGTGGCAACTAGGGGAAGAATGTGGGGATAAATTCATCAAATCTATAATACAAAATGATTTTTACGTCGATGATCTCATCACTGGGTCAAATGACGAGGATGAGTTGCGCCATATAAAAGAGCAAGTGTCTAATGTTCTAAACTCAGGATGTTTTCCATTACGGAAATACAAAAGTAACTCAAAAAACATTTTCCATAACAACACTGATGTACAACGAGATAAACTAATTACAAGTGAATCGTCGAGCACTCTCGGACTAGGATGGAACCCTTCTACTGACGAACTACACTTTCCAATTAAATGTACGTCAGTTAATCGACAGCTAACAAAGCGTATTATAATGTCAAATTCTTTAAAAATATTTGATCCTTTAGGTTTATTGAGTCCTTGCACAATTGTACCCAAGATAATGCTGCAAAGGCTGTGGCTCCTCCGAGTGAACTGGGATGACCCTGTTCCTCAGGATATTCAATCCTCTTGGGACGAGTTTGTAAACAATTTACATTATCTAGCCAATTTATACATTCCAAGAAATGTACTTTGCGAGAACGCAAACGTTATTGAAATACATTCGTTCAGTGATGCTTCGCAATGCGCCTATGGTGCTTGTGTTTATGTCAAATCTATAAATCAAAATAATTCCATTAGCATTAAATTGTTATGTTCAAAATCTAGAGTGTCACCTTTAAAACCCGTAACAATTCCTCGTTTGGAACTATGTGCCGCGTTGCTCTCTGCCAGATTGACCAAAGCAGTGTGCGACGCCATAAAATATAAACCTTCTCGCGTGGTCCATTGGTGTGACAGCAGCGTAGTCCTCGCATGGATTCACAGTGTACCTAGAAATTTAAAGGTATTTGTAGCAAATCGCATAGGTGAAATTTTGGAACTTACGCAGCCGTCATCATGGCGATACGTACCCACAGCAGACAACCCAGCTGATCATATTTCAAGGGGTGTTACTCCAAGTCAATTGCCGGAGTTAAACCTGTGGTGGCACGGCCCACATTTTTTGTACAAAAATGAGTCAGATTGGCCCTTATTAAATTCTAATATTATAAATAAGGACAACTTACCTGAGGTTAAAATCAATCTTCACACTGATGTTGTTGAACCATTAATAAATTTTGCGAATTACTCTTCATTTACCAAACTCCAACGCGTGTTAGCTTTCATCAAAAGATTTATTTATAATTCTCAGAATAGATGTGTTAAACGTACTGGCTACTTATCCACCAATGAGTTAAATCAGTCATTCTATAGCCTCTGTTTCATGGCGCAACAGCAAATATTTCAATTAGAGTATAAACTTTTAAAACAAAACAAACCGTTACCAAATAAATCCAAAATTTTACCATTGTCACCTTTTGTCGATAGCAATAATTTAATTAGAGTTGGTGGCAGAATTCAAGCTTCCGGATTTTCATATGAAAGGAAACATCAAATCCTTCTTGACTCTTCCCACATTCTAACAAGGTTATTTTTTTGGAAAGAACATGTTCGTCAGATGCACGCCGGGCCACAACTATTGCTAGCTACAGTTCGGGAAACAATCTGGCCTATCAACGGTCGTCATCTGGCTCGTCGCACAGTACGCAACTGTGTAACATGTAGACGCTTCCAAGGGAAAACCCTTCAGCCCAAAATGGGCAATCTCCCTGCACAGCGCATTACCGTCGATTTTCCCTTTGTTTCAGTTGGTCTAGATTTTGCTGGCCCGTTCTTTATCGTTAACCGAAGAGGACGAGGAGCAAGATTGACGAAATGCTACATGTGCTTATTTATTTGCATGCGCTACAAGTGTATACATTTAGAGGCTGTAGGCGGTCTATCCAAGGACGATTTTTTGATGACATTGAAGCGTTTCATCGCTCGACGCGGTAAGCCAGTGGAAATATTCTCCGACAACGGTCGTAATTTTGTCGCGGCGGCCAAGGAGCTAGGATCATTTCTAAAGACATATAACCACTTACTTTCCGACTTTGCTGCACTAGAAGGAATACAATTTAATTTCATCCCTGCTTACTCCCCTCATTTCGGCGGCATTTGGGAATCAGGTATTAAATCCGCAAAACACCATGTCAAACGTGTTATAGGCAATTTACACCTCACCTTTGAGGAATTGCAGACTTTGTTCGCACAAGTGGAGGCAATATTAAACAGCCGGCCCTTATGTCCAATGTCCTCAAATCCCAACGACTTTCTTCCCCTTTCTCCGGGACACTTTCTCATCGGAAGACCGTTAACCACGTTCCCATCTCCACTAGTAGAAGAGACGGATCCCAACAAGCTAAAGCGATATAAAAGATTAGAGCAACTCCGACAGCATTTTTGGCAACGTTGGCAAAACGAGTACATCAATGAACTACAAAGAAGACAAAAATGGATGAGGGAATCTCCTCAGCTTAAGGTCGATGATTTAGTCCTGATTAAAGAGGAAAACCTGCCGCCCCTGTGTTGGAGACTTGGAAGGGTGACAAAATTGTATCCGGGACCTGATGGCGTGGTACGAGTGGCGGACGTCAGAACTCCTACAAGCTGCCTTCGACGAGCTTTGGTTCGCTTGTGCCCCCTTCCCATTCCAGAAGACGATCCTAAGTTGAAAGAGAATCCTTTCAACGGGGGGAGCATGGCGCAGCTGCATGCGCCTACGCACAATGAATAGCAATATCAAGTATTTCTACAAGTGGCGGCTCATTAAATTCAACAGAAACATAATGACGTTTCCAAATAGTTTTTGTGAATCTACCCGATAGTAAATATATTTCTTTCTATTCATCACATCGAGTCATTACAACATCTCTGTACTTAAATTTACAATTTTTTTAAGTATACACGTATTTTCAAGTATTTTCGGGTTTTATTTACAAACCAAATAGGACCCTCTTATGTCTCACAAGTAGACAATATTAATTTAAATCATACAAATGTAAAATATGAGTGCTTATTTTTCGTACACACATAATATAGTTAATACTAGGTATATACCTCTAAAATTGTTACATTACAATACACTGTGTAAGACCATCAGAAGCTTTTTACAAAATCCACTTTTAACCCTAGCATATAGATACTTTTGTGGAATCCATACATAGATACCGTTTAAATGTTAATGGAGAAAAATCCTCATTAATCAATTAATAAATTGTGGCAAACGACCTCTATGGTGTACTAAATATCTGCCACAGACACTAATGATCAATAATTTTAGTACTAGAACTAGACTGGAAATATAGGTACGGCAAAAATTATGCCAACACGTACTGGCAGGCGGGACAAGAACACAATGCTGAGATATTATCACAAAGGGCGCATTCGTTATCTGTGACACTGACGGCCGGTGGAACGGCACAGTTCATAACATATTATTTCATTTAAACCTTACGATGCGATCGGATCGTGACATCGCATTAATTACGTGAAGTCTAAGAACTAATATAATCTATAAACAGAGTTTAGAAGTGATCAGATTGAACAGCCAAACACAAAAATATGTATAAAATATGTAATGTAAACTTTTTTTGTTAAAAACAAAAAAAAAACTTTAGACAATGCGACAATAACATTGACAGCGATTTGAGAACAGAAAACAAGATTCCATAAATTATAAAAATTATGTATATAGTAGTAGTTTATTCCTCGACACGTATAGATGTGTCTAAAGAAATCGATTCCAAAACCTATCCATTCAAAAATCGTACCACCTAAATGGATTTGACAAAATCAGGTCACAATATCACAATGCAAGTCGGTCCCAGTCTGATGTTCAGTACGATACATCATACATGTACGGTCCGAGCCTCATATGAAATATTAATTACAAGCACGCTTATTTCATTTTGTCGGGTAAGCTTACGAGATTAGGTTAGGACCAGTGTTGGGCTGTTTGTTTTAACCTGTGGTCTCTGGCTAAGAATAGAAGAGTTCATCAACTGTTTACTGGTGACGTAAAATTCGTTTCGTTTCAAATTATACTTACATGCTTAGATATTATAGAACATTGTTCTGTGTCGCGTTTTTTCTGTCTGTAAGAATATAAATATTATTATTCAATAAAAGACTATGCAAATTTAACCAAGTGGTTGGCAGTGGTTGGAGAAGAGCTGAAAACCGTGCTCGGTGGCGTGCCATTAGAGAAACGTATGTCCAGCAGTGGAAGAACACGGGCTGATCATTATGATGATGATGATGAATCAAATGGATGGTTTCGACAAATGTTTAAGACAATTTCTGGGAAATTTCAGTTTTATAGTAGATGTTGTTAGGTAGAAAGTTAGTTAGAAGAAGTAAGTATCTACTCATATTCTAAAGATAATACTGCCAAAAGATAGTGTAATCCGCGCGTTTACCACATATCACCACATTCGTCGAATTTCCGCACATATTTCTAAAGTTCGAGAGCAAATAATTAAATAGGTACTCGGTAACATAAGAAAATAATCGACGTGCTCATAATTCGACTATAAATCATGACTCCCGTTCTACTTCATTATATGAGAACCACCTAGATGCTGATTCAGTACTTGCTGGCTTTCCTACACTTGCAAATTCATCTAAATTACCAAAACGTTTCAAATCTCTTGCAAACACATCGCGATTTTGAACCGTAACGCGAGAATATAGGGCAGAAATTCGGTATGTTGATAGAGTACGTTACATTCGCTCTAAAATAATATGAAATTTAGCAAGTGAAGCATAATCTTAAGATGATTTATGATGTTGTATGTATGACATTTACGAGTTAACAGTTCTAGGGAGGCCTTTTAATCAACTATGCTAATGTTTTGGTGTTGATCCCCGAGTTTCGGATCTCACTACCGAATGTCAATATTAAACCCTAATTGAATCACCGAATGTGAGCAAAATTTAATTATAGTCCTTCGCAGCGACACGTTTGATGAGACGTGTCTCGTGGTACAGGAGGCAACACTAATTTTACCCTTCGAGTTCTGCTGACAAAACTATTGGGTGATAGTTAGCAACTATATCACTAAGCGAATGTAATAAATCGATTAATTGTTTTGTATGTTGTGAGAGATGAGAATGAGTTCTTGAGAACAATGACCGAACATAATATTATACTAAGAAATACAATATTAGGTTGTACTGTACTGTTGTGCTGAGATTGAAAGATATTTTAAACATATTTGGTTCCTTTGAGAATTTTAGTGACATTTAGTCGTACAGTTAATGCAAGTCTCTTTGTCCAGGCTGGATAAAGGTTAGGTTCCCCATTGGGAAATTCACAGAAACTGTCCGAAGACACAGTCAGTGTCCTCTGTCCACTTTATGAAAATATTTGACGAACTCTGCGTGCTCTGTCATAACTGTAGGGAAATAAAAGCGTGATGTTCCTGAAACCGACCTTTACTTTACATATTTTTGAAGTATTGTTTATCTGAAACAAAAAATGAAGTTGTTAATTTTGGTCTCAAAATAACGATAAAATATTTTATGGGGTAGCTTTCTGACCCATCCTATCACGGTCAATGGGGTACCCAAGTCTACTTTAAAATTCAGTCATAACTTAGATGATTACACCCTAAACATCTCACGTACGATCTGTATTGCCTTTTTGGGGTACTGAGCGCTTCCCCAAAAAGAGGGTGATAAGAAAAAATACCTGGAGGTTTTATGTACCCTTAATTTTTAAATTCGTGATACTCTGCTTTCAAATATGGGTTTTGAATTTTGATTTGTGGCCTTTTTATCTCTTTTTAAGGTCGATTTGATATTTTGATAAATTGCTTTGTGTCAGAAACTGAGCAAAGAAAGATTTTATTGTTGTTGATTGCTGTCATCGCGATAATTCATATGCCATGACTATTAGTTAAAGAAACTAAAAACGATATTTGTTAATATTATTCAAATTGGGTTAAGGGGTATCTCCTTACTATAATCAAAATTGATTGATTATTGAAAAGAGACTATCAAACAGATCTCTTTCGACAAATATTAAAATTAATCCAACTACTTTGTCTTCCATTCTCTTGAATTTCATCTCTACTAAGATTTTACAACCTCATTAAATTCTACCAGTTGAAGTTGTATTTTAATAGTTAATACTATTTAACTGGGTTACGCTAAAGTTCCTCTTATATCCAGACTCTAACTAGAGGTTCTTTGAAATCGAACGGGCATGTTGTAATATCTCAAAGCTTTGCTGCAAGTGAATGAAAGAGAATGCGAATAAATAGTTTAGATCTTGTTGGAAGTGATAAAGTGACGGTCAAGGTTTGACACGTGTTTCAGTTTTTCTTTGTATGTGAGTTTTCTTTTATTATTTACTCTTGGTTGTTTGTGCTCTTTTTGATATGCTACGTGAGTCTAATTATTATACATATTTTATACAGTGAACTAAGATCGATTCCAGTGACAAAAATTTATAATTTCTAATATTCACTACAAATACATATTAGTGAACCTTAGGATTAATTCAGGACCTCATAACCTTTATTGGTACTTTTCTTTTTCTCATTTTAGACACTACAATCATTTTAATATTTTTTATGAAGCAAAATACTGGTTACTCAAACAGCATTTCAATCAATCTCTTAAACAAACCCAAGTACGACACAGAATGCATTACTCATGATTAACCAATTCGATGTCCGTTTCCATTCGTTTGACAAATGCCAAAACAATAACAAAGGTACCCCTGATTAACCTTTCATCCAATCTTCAATAGACAGACGGCGAAACCAGATGTCCTATCAGGGTCATGTATTCAATGGGGCATACTAATAGGCAGCCCACCCTATTAATTATGGTTGACGAGAAAATTTCAAGGCAAGAAATCCTTGCCATCAGGCCTAATGCCGAATGAAATGGGTCCAAACTGGACCCTCGTATTGTCGACCGCGTGTCGAGTGTAAGGGAATGGCGGGTTCGTAGGAATCCTTGATGTTGTTGATAAACATACCTAATCAGGTTTGGGAACACACAATACTGGAGAGAATGGAAATTATAATATTGTCACAGAATTCTGTTTTGATAAACAAACATTAATTTTAGCTTGAAAAGTTGAATAAGCAGGAAAATTAAAATTCTACGAATATAAAAGTATATGTGCTACGATAACTTGTTTGGCTATCTCTATCATTTCTCTTTTGTCTTATAAAAATCCTGTTTCAGAAGAAGGTGAAGTCTTTATGTGTTCAGGAAAGAAAATAATATAATATTGTATTGACTCATGAAGGCGTTATCAGGAAATAAAGGACATAGCGTAACTTTAAATTTCTGAAATTTGTATCTCAATGAATTTTGTCCATTCTCGCTACCTCTCACACTTTACTCCACAATTGGACATCAAATGGACTTGCGGCCATCATAACTCCAACCTGCCCAGATTGAACGGGCGTGTCGTTTGTATTTTGTACCGTGCTACTACTAAATGCGTACCTCATTTGGCCCTTGTTACAGGGATCACAGTTATACAAACTATTGTCCAACTTGGCTAAAGCGTCGTCAATTTGTGTTTATATTTTGAAGCTCTGTTCAGAATACTGTACTATTTTGTCAATGGTATGCATGGCACCTCATTCACAAGTAATTATTCTTTAATTTTAAGGACAGTAGTGAAATATGACAAGACTGACATAATAATGTGTAGGAGTTTCAATGTTATATTATTATTAAATCGTCGAGTACCGATTTTGTAGACACAATTATAGAACAATAGGTTGCGGTCACCGGTGACCGCTTGGTGTTTGACAGTTTAAATTATTTGAACAATTTTAGCAAATGTATTCCTTTCATGGTTAATTAATTCTTGTTTTGGTGTAAATTATTGGGATTCGTTAAAGTGAGTATTACATAATAAACATTGATTAAATATTGTTTAGTCTGTTAGTCGCCTATTATTCAATTATATTAATTAGTTGCAGTATTTTACATATC